TTACTTTGTCTAACTGAAGATGAAGAAGAAATGTTGTTTTTGAAAGGATCAAAAGATAATAGTCTTTCATTTATTGGATTATAAGCAGATTTAGGTTGTTGGATCGCACTGTTTGCAGTTTTTGGTTTATTTTTAATGATTTTAAATCCAGAACTTGATGGACATGATGCAGTAGCAGCAACATCAATGTTGTTGTTGTTGTTGTTGTTAATTTGCTGTGTTTTGAAAACAAATTTATTTGAATCTGTAAATTTATTCATATCAAAAATATTAGGTTGTGATATAGGTCTAGATGAATCCACAAAATTTTTATTATTTTCTTCAAAATCACTATTTTCATCAGATTTCAAATACATTGAGGGATTATATGTAATCTTATTATTATTTATTTTTGTTGTTACTTTAGAATTAACATTAGAGTTTAAATGATTCTTATTTGAATTTTCTGCATTATCATTTACACTGTTATCAGTAAGTAAAACAGATTTATTAAAAATTTGTTTTGCATTTAAATCAAGATCTTTCATAATAGATAGGCTTGATTAAATATTAGTTTGAGTTATTTTTTTTGGTAAACCAATTTTAACTTTTTTCTTTCTATTAAATGAATTTGATATTTATCTATTTTTATTTGAATCAATAGTTTGTTTTTAAAAAAATTTTGTTGATTTTCCAAAAAAAAAATTATTTTGAATATTTCCGTTTCCGGTCTCTATAGCCATATTAGGAAACTTCAACTTTAATGATACAAATTTTTTTCTTTGTCAAAAAAAAAAAAAAAAACAGAAAACACACAAAGAAAAAAAAACTTACATTAAAGTTGACTTTCAGCAAAATAGATATAAATACAAACTATAATTAAAAAAAAAAAAAAATTCAAATTCATACCAGGAATAGTTAGCTTGCATACAAAAAAATATTTGTTGTTTTTTTTTTCTTTTAAATTAATACTTCTAAATTTTATAAATAATTGGTTTTGATTTAAAGTAATCTTTACTACATTAAGTTATACATTTTTTCTTTTTTTTTGTTTGGTTCCAAGAGTCATGACAGGTCAGGGTGATAGTATGGTTAGAAGTTTGTCCCCTAAAGTACAGTCCAATTTTGACGAAAGCATTTCAAAAAAAAGTCTTGAAAATAGAAATGGAAATATTTCAAAATTTAATACTAATTATAAAATACAATCAAGTGATAGTGACAATACTAATGATGTTTTTAATTTTGTTGATTTAGTTCAAAATTCTAATAGTAACAATGAAGATAAAAATGAATATAGTTTCAAATCCTTGAATTTTAACAAAAATAATTCAATTCAAAAATGTAACAGTAATGACAGCTCCCCATTGAATAAGCATGGTATTGATCAAGAAATTTTCGATTTACATGCAGATACAAAGATAAAAGAACAATCTCAGATTAATAATGACAATTCAAAAAAGGTCTCTAATAGGTTGCATCATAGTGGAACTGCAAAGAGATCTAGTACTGATTTCAGAAAAAAAAGCACTGAACAATTTCTTCATTTAAGAGAAGAATCATTAACAATTAATACCAATACCTTAGCTCAAGCTCAAAATACAGTATCTCCTCCCTCTACTCCATCAACGCCAAGATTATCTACAATAAATAACAATCACTCTCCTCAACAACAAAGATCTACCAGGCCACCGTTTCTAGCATCAAAACATTCTCAGATTATACCAGTTCTTTCTGTAAATGATGTTGTTCCAAATCCACATTCTATGAATAACAATGTCAACCATATAAATATGACTACTTTAAACAATCAAACACCTAGTACTTCTGTTTATAGTAAAAGTGCTAGAAATAGTGTAACGAATATTAATCAGCCCACAAAAGATGAGATTGCCACAAAACTTGTTTATCCAACAATTGATCCAAATGCAATCAAAGAGTATAATGAGGCTACAAAGAAAACTGAATTTGAAGTTATAGATTATAAAAACAAAGAACGGAAAACTTTAAAAGTAGAACAAACAAGAGATGATGAATTGGTTAGAAAATTAACTCATTTAGCCAAAAACAATGAAAGTGGAACAGATCTTGGTGCAACATCCAAACAAAATCAATCAGATATGAAATCAATGCAATCAAAAACAGCAGCTAACAATGATCGTAATAGTATTACACATGCAGGTGTTGATCCTAATCTTGATATGGAAGATGTAGCTGATGACACTTACTCAGAGACTATAGTTGATGGACATACAAATTTCACTATTGCTTACAATATGTTATCTGGAATAAAAGCATCTGTTTTAAAATATCAAGAAAGAGTTGATAAAAAACTACGAATACAAAAGGCAAAGGGAAATAAAAAATATTTGGTTGATGTGAAGGAAAGTGATTTTACGAATACTGAAAAACTAAAATTTGTTCATAAAGACAAATTATTATACTCTTTTAAATTTAAAGATTATGCACCACAAATTTTTTCTAATTTAAGAAAAATTTTCAAGATAGAAGATGAACTATATTTAGAATCGCTAACATCAAAATATGTGTTAAGTGAGTTGAACTCACCAGGGAAATCGGGTTCTTTCTTTTATTATTCTCCAGATAATAAATACATTATTAAAACTATAAGAAAACCAGAACATAAACATTTAAGAAACCATTTGAAACAATATTATGAACATTGTGAGGGAAATCCAGAGACTCTTTTATCTCAGTTTTATGGACTTTATAGAATGAAATTACCAATAAGTCTCAAGTTTACTAATCCACCAAAATCCAGAAGAATTTATTTTATTGTTATGAATAATGTTTTCCCAATGCATATAGATCAAAGTTTTGATTTGAAAGGTTCTCTATTAGGAAGAATGACTGATGTTCCTGAAAGTAAAATTCCTTTAAGACAAAGATCTTTTTCAAGAAATTCTCAAATTAATAATGCTAAAAAACATAGTATTGTTCAACCAATTGAAGGAATAGAGCCTGCAGATTTGACAATAAATGATGACAGTCAGGAAAATGTTGCACCATTGACTTTAAAAGATTTGAATTGGTTAGATAATTCAATGAGATTAGAATTAGATGCGAATATTACAGAGGATTTGAAAGCACAGTTAAGTAGAGACGTTTCTCTTCTGAAAAGATTGAATACTATGGATTATTCCTTATTAATTGGAATACATTTCACAAACACAGAAGAATTTTATTATTCTGATGATCTTTTATCGAAAAGTATAGCAAGTAAAGATGGAAATAAATTATATTTCATTGGAATAATTGATTGTTTGACTAATTATAGTTTTATTAAAAAAATTGAAACATTATTTAAAAGTATAACTCATTCAAAAAGTGAAATCAGTGCAGTTCCACCTGACATGTACGGAAAGAGATTTGTTAATTTCATGGAACAAAATGTTTTACCAGTAGTTGAGCATAAAGCTAATAATAGCACTGGTAACAAAAACAAGAAATCTGTTATAGAGCCTCTAAAGACTAGTAATAAAATACACAGTTAAATATAGAAATCAATAAGTGTCTATATATATATATATATGTTTAATTCAGTTTATTTTACGTTAAATATATGTGGCTGTTTTAAAAAAATGTTCTTGCATTATTTTTTTCATTATTAATTATGAATTATTAGAAGTTCCGTAAAATTGCTTAGCGATAGTCTTCCACGGCGCTAAGGTTAACTTGCACATCACAAAAAAAAAAAATCACTGGACAAAAAAAATCAGCCATTGAACATTTTAGGCCAAATGTTTCTTAATTTAGAATTTTGAAAAAAAAAAAATTTGTTGTCAATTCACTATAGAGGAAAAAAAAAAGTTTCATATAAAACAAATAAAAACAGAAGTATATGTTCATTTAAAATCTTAATTTGAAAAACAATAAAAATTTTTTAAAAAAATATATAAAGATCATTTTAATGTTTAATATATTATAATTATTTAATTTTATAATAATAAAAAAAGAAACCAAAAAAAAATCACAATCTTAAGTTATCCACTTTTGAAATACAATAAATGCCACAATATCAACAAGGTTACTATCAACAAGGCCCTCCTCAACAAGGTTATTATCAACAACAACCACAAGTTGTATATGTTCAACAACCACAACAAAGACGTGATGATGGCTGTTGTGATGGTTGCTGTAAATCTTGTTGTCAAGTTTTATGTTGTCTATGCTGTTTAGAAATGCTATGTGGTGATTGTTGTGGTCCTGATGGTACAGGTGGTCCGGGTGGTCCTCCATTCTAAACCAATTAAGCTTTACTTTAAAAGAAGAAGAAGAGAAAAAAAACAAGATATAAATAACAGATGTTTTCTTTTTTTAATATTTTTTTAATAATAGTAATTTATATTATTAAATAATTACAAACTTTTTATTCAAAACAGTCATATCAAAAGAAAAGTGAAAAGATTATTATTGTATGACGAAGTTAACAAATTTGATAGAGATAGGATTCATTAATATGTAATTGATATCAAAAAAAAAATTAAAACAATTTAACTCTCTATATTCACGCATTAATATTATTCAACACAAAACACCGCATATACTCCTCTAATTCATTCAAACTTTATTGTTTAATATTTTTTCATGCTTCAATTTATATACATATATCTGAAAAGTTTTAAAAATGTAATACTCCTTATAATTAATAAAATATTTGATAACACATAACTATGATTAATATCATTAGTTTAAAATTTTTTATTCTCATATTTAATGTTTGAAATAATTATCTAGTCTCTTTCTTTTTTGTTTCTAATTTTTTTGAGGAAAAAAAATAAATCAAAAATGTATTCCCAGATTGTAACATACTTTCAAGTTAAAATAATAAGTATAAGAACAACTTTAACTAAATTCATTAAACAAATAATATGTTTTTTAATTAAAAAGAGCGAAGCAAGAAGCAGAGCATGTATTAATACACAATAACCAATGCTTGAAAAACAGCTATAATCACCATTGTTTACTTAAGAAACACAAAACAATTTTGTTTTGTACAATTTGCTCGATTAGCTCAGTTGGTTTAGAGCTTCGTACTTATATTGGAACAGTTTCGTTTTAGAGACGTTCATATACTTTAAGAAATGCGGCGGTCACCAGTTCGATCCTGGTATTGAGCAATTTTTTTTGGTATTTGTTTTTTTTTTTTTTTTTAAATTAAAAACGCGTAATTTTTTTTATAGTTTGTTTCGCTCTAAAATATAATATATATCTATATATATATATATATATATAACCTCATCAAATATCATATACACTTTTAAATGAAAATATGTAATTAGAACAAAAAAAAAAGTAAATCCAAGCTTAAATCTTTTGTTCTGTTTTTTTTTTTTTAAGACTACAAATGGTGAATGTAAAAGTAGTTGTTGTTGCAGAGAAAAATTCAATTGCAAAAGCTCTTTTTGAACATATATCAGCGGGAGTTGGTGAAAGGCACGTTTTTAATTCTGAATATCAATTTGTTAAGAATTATAAATGTCAATTAAATAATACAACATTATTCAACAAATATATTGAGAATAATGGACTCTACAATGTAAATATTGATCTTACAATTACAGCAGTAGCTGGACATGTTACCTCTTTTGATATTGAAAATGCAAAGACAACCTATAAATGGTCACAAGAAAAATCAGATCATTTGAAGTTATTAACAGAAGCACCTATAGAGAACAAATTTAGTGCAAATGATAATGATAAACATCTTGGTGAAAAAATAGCTAAAAATATTTATAATCTTTGTCGTGATGCAGATCATTTGATAATATGTACTGATTGTGATAGAGAAGGAGAATATATTGGATGGGAAGTCTTTATGTCAGCCAATTTTGGATATAATTTTAAGAAAACATTAGATTGTTCAGTGTTGAATAAACCTATAGGTGGTTCAACAAAGTTTAATAGAGGTAATACCTGGAGAATGAAATTTTCTCATTTAGAAAGAAATCATATGATTGATGCTGTTAGAAATCCAGGAAAACTTAATGAAAATATTATAAATGCAGTACGTTGTAGATCAGAGATAGATCTCAGGTCAGGTACAAGTTTCACAAGACTCTTGACTAACTATTACAGAAATGTTTCTAATATTGTTGAAAATGATGGTAATAGTAAAGGTTCCTTTGTTGTATCTTACGGCCCTTGTCAATTTCCAACATTAGGCTTTGTTGTTGATAGATATGATAGAATACAAGCCTTCTCTGCAGAAATGTATTGGTCGATTTTCATTCAATTAGACATTTTCTCAACAAAGCTAAAATGGGATAGAAATAGATTATTTGATAGATATGTTGTAGCTCAAATATATGAAAATCTTTATCAAAGAGAGTCAGAGTATGTGAGAATTGAAAATTTGGATAGTAAATCCGTTTTAAAATTCAAACCATATCCTTTGACAACAGTAGATTTACAAAAGGATTGTTCCAAATACTTTAAAATTTCTGCTAAAAGATCATTAAATGCAGCAGAATATTTGTATCAACAAAGTTTTATTTCTTATCCAAGAACAGAAACTAATAAGTTTGCAGCAAATTTTGATTTTAAAAAAATACTTGATCAATTACAAGAAAATGGTAAGTTCAAATTTATCTCTAGAACCAAACTTCAACCTGGTAGTAGTAATTTTAGTATTCCAAGAAGTGGGCAAAGAGATGATGGTGCACATCCACCCATTCATCCTATCATTTCCATGTCTGATGATAAATTTAATTCATTAACTCATGATCAAAAACAAGTTTATGAATATATAGTAAGAAGATTTTTAGCTAGTTGTTCTAAAGATGCAGTAGGAGAGCAAACTTCATTAACTGTTAGATGGGGAGTGAATAAAAATGATCCAATAAGTTTAAAAAATGGAGAACTATTTCATGTTTCATTTTTAAAAGTTACCCATAAAAATTGGTTGGAATATATGCCATTCTGTCATTGGGGTGCAACTTCTAAAAAAGTACAAGATGAAATTGAAGCTAATAAAGAACTTTTATCAAGAATGCGTGTAGGAGATTTTTTGAAAATGAAAGAAACTGGTATGACAGAAGGAAAAACTGCTCCTCCAAAACCTTTAACTGAAACGGAATTAATCACTTTAATGGATAAAAATGGTATAGGAACAGATGCGACTATAGCTGATCATATTGAAAAAATAAAGACAAGAAAATATGTTGTAAAAGATAATAAAGAATGTTTGGTTCCTACTAATTTGGGTATTTCTCTAGTTCATGGTTTTCAAGATATTGGATTAGATGATTCAATAACAAAACCTTTTTTTAGAGGAGATTTTGAAAGTTATTTAGTTGATATTTGTGATGGTAAAGCACATAGAGAAGTCATAACTCATCAAGTAATACAGAGGTATGTCAAATATTATCGTAAAACAAGTGATAATCTTACAAAGTTAGGTGCTGCATATTCAAGATCAAGATCATAAATTGAAAAGAGAAAAAAAAAATTTTTTTTAATTATAGTGTTACATAAATAAAAACAAAAACAAAAATGCATACATAAAGTCTCTCTGCTATATATCAAGTTTCTTAATTTATTAATATCTTAGTATTCAATTATAGTAATTGATCTAAAAAAAAAAAAAAAAAATTCCTTTTTCTTTAACGTTTACACCAGCAATCTTCATTTATGTCTTCTATTTGAACCCATAATTCAATTTCATATTTATCAATAACATCATCAATCTTATTTTTCAAGTAGTGTTTACCACCAAAATCTTCTCTTTTATCTATCAAAACATGAATAAATCCCTGAGTTTTACCATTATCACTAGAAGAACCGTGGGAATGCGAGTGTCCGTGAGAGTTGTTCTCATCCGATTGAGAAGAGCTCCAAAATCTAAATTGTCTGTAACCTTTTACACCGTTTATTTTTTCTATTTGACCCAACATTTCTTTAAAGTTATTAGAACCTTTTACTTCCTTCTCCTCATCACTATGATCACAATCATCTTTATGAGAATGTGAGTGTGAATGAGAGTGGGAGTGAGAATTTGAATGTGAATGTTCATGTCCATGTTCAGTTGTATCTGTTTTTTTTATAACTTCAATTCTGTTAAATAACATTAATTTTGCAAAACATTCTTTAATTAAAGGAACAGCTGTCAATAAAATTAAAAAACTTAAACCAATAGAGAATATTGGATCAAATAATAAGTTGTCAAACCAAATGTGCAGTACAGTTGATAACACAACAAATACTGATCCCATAGTATCAGCTAACAAATGTAGCCAAACACCTCTCATATTATCATTACTTTTACCGTGATTTGTTTTTTTATCCTTCTTCTCATGATCATGTTTTTCACATTTTTCATGATTACTACCATGATCTTCAAAGAAAAACAATCCAATAAGATTGACTACAAGACCCATAAAACTGACAATCAATAATTCAATATTATCTTTAAATCTTTCACTTCTAATCTCTCCTGCTTTAAAACTTTGTTGTTGGATCATGCCTTGAATTCTTGAAAGACCTTCCAAAAATACAGATAATGCAATAGCTAATAATAAAATACCATTAGTGAATCCACCAACAACTAAACCGTTTCCTGAAATGGAATAATCTAAATTATTTTCCTTTGAAATATCATGATGGCTACTCTTATTACTGGAACTTTCAGCGATATAACCTAAAAACAAGGAAATACAATCTAACAGCATATGTAAAGAGTCTGATAATAAACCCAAGGAATTTGTTTTGAAAGAATATGAGAATTGGATTAACATATAGGTAGTATTTAATAGTAAAAATTTCAAGATTGGTGAATAACTAGCTATTTTTGGGAAAGTTAATATCTTTATATGCAGTGGTATACCAACAATAGATGGTTTTGGAATAGCTGTTGTTATAATTAATGAAGTTAAAGAAGACAATGGAATAGCAGAATCCTTTGATAACAATTTAAGTATTCTGTATGATAGTCCTCCGATTAATCCAGATAGTAATATTGTTGATATAGTTTTGAAATTATAAATATCATTGATGTTTATGAAATATAATGAAGCTGTTGTTGCTAAAATTAGCCCTATTTTTATTGGCATAATAAACTGTGTGACTTTAGATGTTATTCTATTCATATTAGTTTGGTTTTCAATTAAAACAGTTTTATAAATGTAAAGTCCTAAAAACATTAAAACACTTTTTAAAATTAAATGTAAAGAAATAGTTTTACTTCCAAAAAATTCATAAATAGTAAAACAAAATTGAGTGATTACAATTTCTTTCATATCTATGGTATATGTTCCTAGATAAAGCCTTGCTGATAAAGCAGCTATTAAATTAAAATCTAATGATAAAAAAATATAACTTATTAATGTAGATATTGTGAAGAGATAATTGTTGTTTTGTTTAAATCCTTGAAAAAAGGAAAAAGTTAAAATACAAAGATATAATGATATATTCACTCTTGCAATGGTGGCTAATGATAATATCACAGCATTGAATAAAATTGTATTTACTATGATGTTATTGTTTATAATATGAATATATTTTTTAATATAAAGGTCTAGTAAGTTACTATTAGTTTTAATATATTCATTTTTCTCTTTAATGTTATTATTAACAGGTTTCAAAATCGTCATTTTTTATTCTTTAAAAAAAAAAAAAAAAAAAAAACAAAAAAAA